TTAGGGTTTAGGGTTCAAGCTTAGGAATAACAGTAAGAGTGACACATAATCAGTCATTATCACAATAGTAACAGTAAGTACTATGACTTCGGCATGGCCATTTTCCGGGTAGCCAGGCCATCAAGATGGTCGATGAGGCTTGCAAGAAGGGCACCTGGGTGCTGCTCCAGAATTGCCATCTGTACAAGCCCCTTGGATTCAGCAAAGTGGTTCGCCATGGTCCACCCTTCAGGGTTTAGGGGTTTAGACGGTTGAAGCTCCGGTTTCAGCATAACGCGCACACACACACACAATCTTTCTCTATGTACTGTAGAAGCTATGAAAACATACGGTCTGAGAAAGTGCATGCGCATGAATCGTGTGTGTATACGTGAAAAAATGTTTAGATTTGTCGCGTCATGTCGTTATCTTACTGGGGGTTAGCACGGAATACGGGGAATATAATCATACTCCCTGTATAATCCCCATGCAGCATATTCCCTTATTCCCTACTAACCCTAAAGTCTAAACCCTATGTTATACACACGAAATCCCTTGTTCCCGACTATATATAGTCTCCAGTAAGTTATTCGCCGGTTTCGGAAGCTCCGAGCTTGGCCCACGAGGGACATGTCGATCGCCCTAGAACTCAAACCTGGAACCCTCCCTACACCAGGAGGGTTTTGGGATAGGGTTTAGGGCCAGAAGCCTTCACTCCTATAGGCCTTACACACTGTTCAAAACTCTAGGTCTTGAACTTTGAAGCCCTGCACCCGGAAACCCCAGCCCTAAACTAAGCCCTCAACCCTGTGCTCAGGACCTTCATGCCTCAGCTGGAGAAGATGTGCGAGACGCTGGAGGAGCCAGCGGCTTAGGCATCCGGTGTGCGGCTCATGTGGGAGATGTCCTGAACAGGATGGATTTCGGGTTTAGGGTATAGGGGCTCTTATTATTCGTGCGTTCCGTTTTGGCAGAGATTCCTCGTTAGTGGTCACAATGTTGGAAAGAGTAGTTGAGGCACAGTTCCATGTGTGAAGGCAGGCTCTTTCAACAAAAGTGGGAGACAGTCACGCATGTGCTGCTGAGGTCGAACATGATCCACAAAGACTTCCGGCTGTTCCTGACCAGCATGCCGGGGCCCTGCTTGTAGGGTTTAGGGTTTACCTAGACCCTCCAATGTAGTTCCTTTTTGGGTTTGGTATGGTTTTTGGGTTAGGACTCTTATTAGGACTACCAAAAAGGTACTACATTGGAGGGTCTAGGTAGGGTTGGGGGTAGGGAGGGACGGCCTGGTTGAAATGCATTTGGCGCAATCTGAACGAAAACTTCTGGCGAGAAACTGTCCATCGGCAGAAATTGGGCTGGCTTTAGTACCCCTAGTTTTAGGGCACCCAAATCCCTGTATAATTATATATCCCTGGAAAACATTATTGAACACCTTTAGAGGCTGTTCTTTTGCTTGGCACCTCAACCCTAATCCCTAAACCACCTACCCTAAACCCGAACCTCAAACCCTAAACTCTGAGCCAAACCCTAAACCCTAAACCCCGAACCCTAAACCCTATACTAAACCCTAAACCCTGAACCCGAAACCCTAAACCCTAAACCTTAAACCCTAAACCCTGTACAGCTGTTCTTTTGCTACCAAGGCCTGCGGCCTACTTCCCGGTTCCAGTTCTGCAGAACGGCATCAAGCTCACTACCGAACCGCCCAAGGTCGGCAAACATGGAGATACAAAGGGCTACATGGGGAATTATAGGAGGGTTGTAGGGTTTAGGAATTGTATTGTAGGGTATAGGGGTTATCTTGGGCTCCCCAATAATGGAGAATCAAATGGAAAAAGAAATGGAAAACGACATGGAAACTGGGATTCGATGTAGGTGTTTTTATGCGCTAGAGTCTAAACTCCTCAAAGGCGATGATATAGTGGAGTATAAAGGGGGTTGACTAGAGGTTCAGACTATTGCTCATATGGGTGGTTTGTATACGGCTACATAGGGGTTACTTAGGGGTTTGTATAGGGGGATACAGGAGTTATTTAGGGTTTAGGGATTAGGGTTGTATAGAGAAATTACCCCAATAGTGGAGAATGCCAAAATGAAATGGAACCTGTCAACATAAGGGTCTATTCTTCGGGGCTACTCGCTAGACGTGCAGAGTTCAGTGTTATCATATTACCAAACTGGTATGCTGAGAGGGAACTTAAATTCACTTACTGTTATAAGGAAACCCTATTGTTTGCATTACATCCAGGTTATTGGAACTTGTTTTAAGTTCCTTAACCCTAAACCCTAAATGCCCCTATATACCCCTATATGACCCTTATATATTGTGGTAACTTCTTTCAAGTTCCTTAACAGCAACCCAGCAAATGCACAGGGCCTCCGTGCCAACGTCATGCGATCATTCCTGCCAATGACGGACGAGCAGGCAGAGCTTCCAACATGCCGCCATTTAGGCTTAGGGGGTTGGATAGGACGGTGTTATCTAGGGGGTATATATGGATAATGGAAAAGAAAACGGAAGCTGCTGATTTAGGCATTTGGGGTTTGGGGGTTTGGGAGTTTGGGGTCTTGGGGGTTAGTGTAAGCAGTCAGGCTACATAGGGATTATCGGGGGGTTATATTGGGGTTACTTTGGGATAATGGAAAATAACATGAAACATGATATCTAGGGTTCAGGGCCTAGGGTTAGGCAGAGGAGCCTGTCCATTGCTAGTGAAGTCGTTTGCGCATATGCCTGATTGCGCATGAGAAGCTTGCCCTGACGCCAGCTCAGCGACTCGTCGAAAGACAAGGAGTGGCGAAAGCTTCAGTTCGGCGGCTGCCCCAACCTGGTTCTCTTGCAATATCAACAATATGGACAGCAATGTTGCTTTCCATTCAATTTTCCATTTTTGGTTCTCCATTTGATTCTCCATTACCGGGCGCAATATCCCTCAACCCCATAGTATCCCTATATGCCCTATCTTATCTTCTTAGAACCTCTGTATGACCCTATACAGCACCTGTAGAATCTCATCTAATCCCCATATCAACACATGGTGATCAGATATAAAGGGCTCTCGGGCTGTGTTCAGAGCCGTGCAGTCCAAGCAGCCAGAACAGGGGTCATGCACCAGCAGCAGAGGTTGTGGCAAAGCGAGGACGGTTGCATTACATAGGCAATACATAGGGGTGTATAGAGATCATATACCAGTATATATGTTTATATAGCGTTATATAGGGGTTGTGTAGGGATATAATGGAGAATGTCATGGAAAAGAACATTGGACATGACATGGAAACTGGGGTAACGTAGGGGTCGGGTTCTTCCATGTCATCCGAGGTCTCAAGTTCTTCCATGCCGTGATTCAGGACATGGTGCATGGGAGGGGCAAATGGGGTATGGCTTGCGCCAGCATGCTGGTGCTGGAGACAGATGCGAGTATGTGGGTACGCATGCGGATTGCATAGGAACAATACAACCTCACATCCCCTCAAACAACAGCAGGTCAGCTTCAATGCGTTGCATGGCAACCACGGGGGAACCCTGCTTCTCGAGAATGCCATTTGAGCTATAGTCTAAACTCCCTAAAGGGGGGTTATATAGGGGATTATATAGGGGACTACTATAGGGGTTATTAAGGGGGATACTAGGAGTTTAGATTATAGCTCATTTGGTTCCAGGAGAGGCGCAAGTTTGGACCCTTGGGTTGGAACATTCGCTGCGCGGCTGCATGTATATAGTAATACAGGGTAATGTAGGGTAATATAGGGATAATATAGGGTAATATAGGGTAATATAGGGTTGTATAGTGGTTTCCATTTTCTTTTCCATTATCCCCATATAAACCCCAATATACTATAGTGATTTCCATTTTCTTTTCCATTATCCCCATATAAACCCCAATATACTATAGCAGTTTCCATTTTCTTTTCCATTATCACAATATAAACCCCATATAATAATGTATAAACTCGGAGAATTCCGCTTCCCAGGTCTTAGGAAGGAGAAGCGGAGGTTTAAAGCTGCTGGGCATCTGGCCAAGGCTACGAGTTCAATGACTCGGACCTGGAAACGTCTACCACAATCACCCACAACATGCTGGACCGACTGTGCCAGAGATTCGTGATTTCTCAACTATGGTTTGGAGTTGCAGAGACTCACCCCTAAACCCTAAACCCTAAACCCTAAGCTCTATGACTTGACTTTGTGTGGGCTATGGGATGCACAGGAGCTGGATGGACCCATCCCTTGGGACACGCTCCTCTTTGTCATTGGTCACATCAACTATGGTGGCCGTGTCACGGATGACAATGACAGGCGCAAGACTTGTTTTATGAGAAATGGTAGGTTCCCTGAATGACGGGAAGCCCAATATAGACCCCAAAATACTGTGATCCTTATTATGGGGACGCCCAAAAAGGCACCACTAATTTTGGGAAACTCCCAAATCGAAGCCAGCGAGAAGATTCTGTACCCGAAGAGCTTGGCCCTCTGATAGTCTAGGAAGGTAAGGAAAGCTTCGCGGTAAGCATCAAGCTCCCTCTGCCTCTGGGGAAGCAACTTGAAATGGCCCTGCACCCTTGCCTGTTTTATAGCTTTGATTTTCTTGTCCATTATCCCTATATAACCTCGAAAGCCTAATCCCTAAACTCCAATATACCATAGTAGTTTCCATTTTCTTTTCCATTATCCCTATACAACCCCAATATACTCCCTTGTTTCCTACTAATCCCCAGTAAGTTGCCTAACCAGTATAAAGTTGACAGGAAGTGTCTTCTGGCCATCCTGGAAAAGTACGTGACGCCGAAGATCCTGGAGCCAGGGTACACGTTCTCCGAAAGTGGCACCTACAGGCAGAATGCTGTCTGATGGGTTTAGGGATATTACCCCAATAATGGAGAATCAAATGGAAAAGAACATGCAACATGAAATGGAAACTGGGATTAGACTGTTGATGGATGAAATCTCGCACCGCCTTAAGTCCCTAAAGTACCAGGAATTACAGTTTCAGGGCCCCTAGGTGGTACAAGATTTCATCCATCGACAGGATGTAGGGGTTTACATGGGCTAGAGTCTAGACTCCTTGGAGGGGGGGGCCACAGCTAGGTTTTTTTTCCAGAAAAAGGGTCGCGCTTATGTATGCCTCCCAACTAATGCAGTCCTTCATGTAGCAACCTCTAAACAGAGACTCCGAAGGTTTGGAACACCCCCCCATTACACTTATGAACCCGAACCTGAACCCTAAACCCTAAACCCTAAACCCTATACCCTAAGCCCTAAGCCCTAAACTCTAGACCCCTAGCCCTAAACCCTAAACCCTAAAACCCTAAACCCTGAAACCCTAAACCCTAAAACCCTAAACCCTTAACCTTGTTGTGCATCCCTTAAAGTGCATAGCCATGAGGTGTGCAGACAATTCGGACACGGCAGACATCGAGTCGTGGCGGAAGTTTGCCGCGGCCTTTGCGTGAAAGGTTTAGGGTTTAGGGTTTAGGGCTCAGGGTTTATACTGTTGGAGGGAGACTGAATAAGTAGGTTAAGCATGGGCATAAGCAGGGTTATGATGTGGGTTATAGGGGTTATTAACCTACTTACTAAGTCCCCCTGACCCTCCAAGTACTAGTTCTTAGGTTGAGCATATGGGAATATGTAGCGGAAAAGAAGATGAACACAATGGGGTATATATTGCGCTTTTTGTAGGGAATATGGGCATATGGTCTATCGGGAATATATAGGGATTGCACTCCCTTATTCCCTACTAAGAACCAGTAAGACTTTTTGTGCGCCAAGTGGTAGTTTCCTTAAACAGGGGGACACCAAAATAGACCCGAATAGAATGATCCTTATTCTAGGGAGGCCCAAAAACAGTAACCGTAATTTGGAGAACCCTCAAGTACATGAGCTGCCATGGAACTCATGGAACAAACCTCAAAAGCTTTAATTCTGACCACTGGCTGATGTGTCAGAGGGTTTTGTTGCAACAGTGAATCCCGGTACTGGCTGGCACCTTTCTTTTCTGTTTGGTCTCTAGTGCAACTGCAAATCTTGTCCTGCCCATTCACTGCATTCGCTTGTTTTCATAAGGCCTGCAAGTGCAGACACACCCGCAACAGAATCAAGACAGTTCAGAATGTTCGGATGACGAAGCTGTGATGGCATCGCATATGTCTCGTGCTTTCCGCCAACGTGTCAGAGTCAGGTACGGAAGAGTTGTAGTTTGTAGGGAAATTTGCAAAATTCCAACAGTATTTAATCGGAAAGCGTATCGGCCAGTCATCCCCGACAGGCCAGTACACAGGGCGTCAGAATGCAGAAAAGTGATGTCCTGCTTAGCGGAACGTGGAGTAGTGCGAGCCGCATTGCAGAGTTTTCATTTCATGCTTTTCCTTCCGCTACAAGAGACCTTCATACGATCTGAATGTATACAGCATCTTCTCACATCATACAATTTCATTGACGTTTTCCTTTGCACGCTGTCGCACACATTTCTGTATCTACTGGTACATTTCGGCAAGCATCGGTTGGGATGAGGTGGCAGGCTTTCCGTTGTCCGAGCAGCCGGAGGCACGCAGCCGAGATGTTAACCAATGGAAATGATTCTCTTCTCCTGGCCAGGAAATCCTTATACTTCACTTGCTACTAGTAACACAGGGTCTGAAGCCACCCAGAGATTCAACATTCGCTTTAGATCTGCGTATTGGCTGATGCCACCAAGCAGATGCATGCTTGCTGCCATGGATAGTTTGGGTACAGGTCTTCGGCATGCACGACAACGCCAACATCAGCTTCATGAGTCCTTAGCTTAGGTCGAAGGAGGAGGGTACAGATCCTGTTTTTGTTATTATTATTATTACTCTTACGACTATTATCATTGTCATTGCTACTATTGCTTAGGGTAGTAGCAGACGCCCTCGTGGTTGAGTTGAGGAATGCATTGTGAAGCTTGGGTGTTGGAATAGGCTTCAAGTTTAGGGTCACTGCTGCTTCGGAAGCGTCTGCCAGACTCAACCTTTTTGCAGCCTTGCACCAAACTATGGTGTTTCCATACATAGGGGGACCCCAACATAAATCCCCAAACAGTATAATCAACATTCCAGGCTTCCTAAGAAGTCACCCCTTATCTTGGTGGGAAGCCCCGATATGTCTTTATTTCTTGAGACAAGCATTCCAACTCTTGACCCCAGCTTCGCCGTTTTATCATCATCGCACGCGTTGATGACTAGAATTATTACAGAATACTAGTATTGTTGCTATTATGGCTATTGTTAGTTATTCTTACTTGTTTTTGTTATCATTAACCCTCGTTAATTCTTATGTGTTACTCAGTGCTAATTAGTAAATATTTAGTAGTGACTATTGTTAGTACCAGTCTGATGGTCTAAGGCCAGGAATCTGAGAAGGTCCTCAACAGCGTTCTGTCGATTCAACCTCGAGAGGCGGGGCCTGGATTGTCTCCGTCTAATGATTTTGAGAACAATAGTACTGGGCTCTTATAATAGTGATATAGATAGCAATAATATCAGTAATAGTAGTAGTCCAGGAGGTGCGAGCTCTGATGTAAGCCTTGACTACTAACTCTGGATAGTCGCAGCACATGGCCATGTGTGGTGTAGCGGCAAATCCACTTGAGTTGTACTTGTACGACTGGGCCACCCTTCTTATATATATATATATACAAATTGGTACCCTAAACCCTTAACCCCTAAACCCTAAACTAAACCCCTAAGCCCTAAACTAAACCCCTAAGCCCTAAACTAAACCCCTAAACC